TGCTCAGGTCCCTTCCGACCCTAGAAACTATGAAACTATAAAGGCAGGTTGGGTTAGAATTTGGGTTTTAGCTGGCAGTCTTATGGGAAGATTGGGGAGTTGGGCAGGAAGGGGATACAGATTTGCCCTTTTTCTTGCAATGTTGAAATTTAAACTAGGACATAACAGCCAGCTGGGCTTCAAGGGTCAGGTGTCACTTCTGAGGTGGAACCACGTTATTTGTGTGTTAACTCTTTTGGTGAACTTCAGAGTCCAAAGTGTGGTGACCAGGTTAAGCATGTCCTATGCCTGACACAGCAGATCTTGCATGATCTGTTTCTAAACTTGGCACATTCTCCATGGAAGCATAGCTGGAGCATAAAAATAGCCACGTACTGCTCTATTTAGCTAAAGCTGGAAAAAATATTTTTTTTACTGAGAAACAACATAGGAAGAATGGGTTCGCTTACATAATTTAAGCCTGCAGTGAATTACCATTTAATTCACTTTAGCAGGCACTCATTTTAATTACAGTCTGTGTGCAGTTGGTAGCTTTGTGCAGATGCAATCTGTAGTTTATGAGGTTTATTAAGGTACGGTGCTCAGTTGGAATGTGATCAGTGAAGTCCTAGGCTATACCCATATGTGGATTACTTGTATCTTTGTACTTGTCAGACTTCACATTGCTCAAGCTATCATATTTATATTAAATTATAACCTACTTGTAGAAGTGATTTTAATTACATTCTTTTTAGTGATTACCGTAATCTAGTTAGGTGAAAATCTAGTCTTGCAGGTACTTAACCTCAGATGGGCTTTCCTGATTGTTAGGAAACCTCTGAAGATATAAAACTTAAATAGTCTAAAACTGAGAGCTAAAACTCAAAGGTCTAAAACTGAGAGCTAAAACCAGAATAGTTTCATTCTTCCATATTGGTCATTGGCCAAGCTTTTATAAGTTGAGATCTAGTGTTTCTACATTTCACAGAACTAAATTATGCCAGGCTGGTGCCAAAACTCAAGAGTTTGTCACAACCTTGGGGGTCTTACAGATTGATTGCATCAAAATGATGAGTTTTGCTGCTCTTTCACTGCTAAAATGTCAAATAAAATGAGCCCTTGGGCAGAAATTCCAGATCATTAAACCTTCAAGTGCTCCTCTGAATCTCTTTTTTGTAAATAAGCACAGACTGCATTGGGTCTGAAGTTATCCTGCCCTTTCTAAAGAACCATCTGTGTTGAGAGAGGAGATGGAGAAAGAGATGCACTAGGAGGTATGGATACAAAACACTAATGTTTTTAGGAATCCTCTTAGAAAAGTCAGTTATTGTGCTGATGGTTCTTGATGCCAGGGTAAACGCATCAAGCTAGTTTAAAATATTCAATGAATTCAGAAACTGATCCCATTTCTCAATGGCTGGTGTTCTGTATCAGGTACAATTATACTAAAACCTTGCCTGTCACTATAACTTGTAATGGCCCTTTTTCAGATTATCTCAATTAGCAGAGTTTCTCTACTCAGTAGCAAGCTGGCCCTAAACTGAAAACAAGACCAGATCAATTATTACGTGTTTAAAATCATTAAGGAAACTACTTAACTGGATTTTTCCACTGCTTTTCTTTTTCAAGTATTTTCTCTTCTGACTTCCTCTGTTGCAGCATTAGCCACTTTGTCCTTGTGATGTCTTTTACCATCTTCATGATGCTGCTGAACGGATTGGCTCAACTGCTAACAACAAAGAGAATTGAACTTTGGGGGGTGACTAAATACCACACCACGTAACAGAGCTAGAAATACTGCTGCTGCTGTTTTTGAGTCTTCAGCCAGTCATCAGCTGTGGAACATAAATTTGGGTAAAGTGAAGTGCCAAAGACCCATCAAAGGTACCTCCTGCTATCAATGACAGGAATCAAATAAATATCTGTACTCCTGTGACTGAAATTGGCATGTAGGTAAATAAGTCTCAGTTTTGTACTACTTACATGTACATATATTTTTGCAAATAAAAACTTAAGTCCTGTTGAAGAGAATGATACTTGCTTCTTTTTGGTCACTGACTTGTTTTATTTAGTATACCTGCAAAATCATGCCTTGTCTCTGGCAGTGGCACAAGAGTGTTACAGACCAAGGCACAAAGGGAGGTAAATCTGAGCAGATGGCTGACTGTTGATATGCAGTGTGTAAAATAAGCATCAGGGCACTTAGGAAGTCAGCTCTCCTTTTGCAAGTCCACGTAGATGCTCCTTATTTGCATAGGTGAAGACAACACATCGGGACTGGTGGGCCTTGATTTGGTTTGGGTACTTAGTATGTAGTGTCCACTTTCCAATGCAAATATTTTTTCCCCTGGGCCTGCTTGTAGTGTGCTGTTGCTGAATTTGCCATGTTTTACAATAGCTTTGTATGGCAGCAACACAAAATACTTACTGCCCTATGCTACCCTGAGAAAGCTGAAAACAGTGGTCAAGACGACCTTTGTGCAGTCCTGGGTGGATGTACAGTGCCCATTCACTTTTAAAACCTATTAGGGGTTGCTTCTAGTAGGGGAGTCAAGCTCATTTGGCCCATGGACTGGATGCAGGTTGCTGGACTTTTCCAGTGGAGTGCGGCATGTAGATCAAGTGGGGCTGGCACATGCTGCACACAGCCTCCAGGGCTGGATTGGCTCTGTGTACTGACTCTGGTGCATGGACCTGATCCAGACTTGCTTAGGGCTTGTGTGGGACAGGTACTTCATGCAACATGTTCCCCAGTGCCCACAGCCCCAGGTCCAGCCCACATGCCAGACTAGCTAGGAGGTCAGCTCTAGCAGCACATGCAGTGTATGGGGTCGATCCAAGACCCATGGGTCTTGGACTTGGCCCTGGATTTGGCCCATGAGCTGCATGTTTGACTCCCCTGTTTATGAGGTCTGTTATGTGACACTGTAACCCCTTCTATCACCTACAGCCAGATCTTATGCCAACAACCCCAGGTTTATCAAGTAACCCAATATGCACACCCACAGCACATACAGTTCAGCATTTCACCACCCACTGTGCTTAGTGTTTGTGTGAACTGTGCAAGGCTTGTTGCTGCCAGGGAGCACTAGAGAAAGCAAGTTGTTTTGTGGTTGCTTTCGCTTTCCTCTCTGAATCCATCTGCAACCTGGTTTGGGAGCAGGTCTGCCAACCATATATCCTTTGGAAAGGGTACTGCTGAATATCCCCATGTGTTCTGAACACATATTTTCTTCATTATTCACAAACCACATCCTTGACACAATTGCATCACAGAATATCAGCTTGCCACCAGTCCAGACTCTGGACACTGCCCAGCCTCTAGAGCCTCTAGAGCACATGGAAGCCTTTCAAGATTCCTGTATGCTCCAGAGGCAGGGAGGCCCCTCAGCTGATTGCGGCTGCCAGCTGGCATAGGCGACTGATAGGGTGTGCATGGGGTGTGCTCCCTGATGGGGCCGGTGCCCTCCCAATGGCCGACACTGATGCTGTTGGTAGGGCTGGTGCCCCTCCTGACATGGCTGCCACCATCAGTGGCTTCTGTGGGTGCCCTCCCCAGATTCAGGAGGCATCAGTCACTCATGGGCAGAAATGTGCCGTATGTTCCCTTAGCTAGAAGCCCACTCAGCTGCTGGGTGTGCTTTCCTGGCTGGAAACTCTGATCATTTGATGGGGCTCCCAGCCACAGGAGCACATGGTGTGATCCCATGGCTGGGAGCCATGCTTTCTACTCACTGGTGCATGGGGGACCCCAGTATTGACAGGCCACTGTTTGGCTGACTGTAGTCTCCCCCGCACTTCCCAATCTCCAGTTGACAAAGGACTCCCCCCTCCCCATGTTGTAAAGCACTTCCTCACATTTAATTTGAGGAGAGCATGGGTTCTTGATTGTGTTTTACTGTTAAGTAAAAAGTTCTTTTGGTTCACAAAGCAGTCATGAGATGTCCTAGGCCTTGTTCAGTCATGCCCTTCTTCCAACCTGTGGACAGGCACTGCTAAAAAGTGGCTTGCCAGTTTATCCCTAACAAGAACGTCCTAATGGTGGTTGTGTTCCTGGGGCTTGGCCTCCGGTGCCATGTAGCAGCTTAAAGCTGGGGCCAGTCAACCTGTTGTCTAAGCAAGCAGAAAGAGCAGCAGCTTATTCAGGCACAGTAGAAATTGCCAGTTGTGCATGACCTGGCAATACAGAAGTTGCCGCTAGACTGTTCTCAGTGGTGGAAGATGACAGAACAAGGAGCAACAGTCTTAAGTTGCAGCAAAGGAAGTTTAGGTTAGATATTATGAAGAATTTTCTCACTAGGAAGGTAGTAAAACACTGGAACAGGTTACCCAGAGAGGTGGTAGACTCTCCATCATGGGAATTTTCAAGACCTGGCTAGACAAAGTCTTGGCTGAGATGATCTAGTTGGGGATGGTCGTGCTTTGAGCAGGGGGTTGGACTAAATGACCTCCAGAGGTCTCTTCCAACCCCAATTTTCTATGATTCTATGAAGTTCTGCTTACTTAGGTGAAAATACTGGGAGGTGTACTTGATATCCTTTGCTTTTAAGAATATTGACACGGGAAGGAGCAATTCTAACCTCTAGCTTCCTTTTCTCCTGGTAACTAACTAACTAACATGCGCACACATGTGTATGCGCACACATGTGCGTGCGCACACACACGCACGCACACACACACACACACACACGCGCACACACACACACACGCGCGCACACACACACACACACACACACACCATGGTGACATTAAAGAGTGTGCCTAAACCGTGAGGTAAATGTCAAGCCAGATTTGAGGCACCCTGTAGAAAATGCCAGCTCTTCGTTTTCACTCTTTTTTCATTATACAGTAATAAAGAGCAACTCTTTCATTGCAAATAACTTAAAGATCACAAGAGATCAGACTGGTTTTTAACACTATGGATTCCTATTGGAATCTCTGGGTTAATCTTGTGAATCATGTTTGCACACCTAACAATGCTCACATTGTGTGGCACCCTAGTTGAGAATCACTGGCTTAAACACTATGTGTAGTTCAGATAAGGAAAATCACTCTGTAGGCATAGGGAGATGGCACCCCCACAAAACCATACCTGTGAAGTGAAAAACGTTTTTTTTCTGCTAATGAACTCCATGGTATCTACATTTATTAACTAGCTTCTGCCATTTTGTGTTCAACTCTGCAAAAGTGAATTGAGTAAGACAGTGATGAGGAAGCAGATGTGACACACATCTCGTGTTTCTGCCAGTATCTCACTGGGAGGGCCTGAGTAGCGGATTTCTTTTGCTCTTGGTTCTGGCCACACTGGGATGGGAGCAACCTCAGTTGACATTTCCATATTCCTGGCCAGTCCTTTATGTCCTTACCTATTTGTTAATTCTGTTTCCAGTACATGCTTCACTGGGTGTTGTGGAGGGGCTCCTGCAGGGAAGGCTCATTGGCTGTGCTATTCCCAGATCTCCCCAGGGTGGGCTCTGGCTGGAGTCTTGGCCTGCATGTTTGGATTTCGTCCAGCTCAGTATGGTGGCATAAATTCTCCAACTCAGCAGCTTTATGCAGCCTACTCGGTTATGTGACAAGATAGATGCTCCCTGGTGGCAGGAGTTCCTCTCCTTTCCAGAAACAAAAGCATTCTGAAAAAACCATCCTAAATCTTTGATCTAAACCAGACAACACAACCTCTTTGTAATTTAAATCCAACCCTTTCTTTGCTCTGGAGATGGTTCTTCGGCCATTTGTCTGCTCCTGGTGCACATGAATCCTATGTCCATGCAGTGCCTTTAGGGATGGACTTGTGCCCTTTTATGCCCTTGTGTTCCTTTCTGAAAGCATAAAGGGCAAAATGACCCCTACCACTGCTTTTAACTGCCTGTGGCAGTGACACAGAACATGTGCATTGTCCTAGCACTGGGTGAAAACAATTTGTAATGGTTGGTGTTTCACTCCTTGGGCATCAACCTCAAATTCCCCAGTTTCTGAAATGTGTATGTGCAACCTCTATGAATGTGGGTTTGACTTATAAATTACTGTATTTAGTTGCATACCACATGCACCGTTCCCTAAAAATCACAACCTCCCCCCCAAAAAAACAAAACAAAACTGGGAATACGTCTTAAGGGAAACTGATTTTCTGCCCAGAATAGAAGCACCCTGCTTTGATTCCTGCTCTGCAATGCAGCAAGAGGGGCATTATTATTCAGACAGCTGAGGGAGTCAGTTGATGTAACAGCTTGTTGCTCTTCACAGGTATTAATCACCTCTCCTTTTTAATGGTTTTGGTATTCTGTTAAGCAAGCTAACATTCCTTAGGACAATTTTGTGGTCTACTAGCTATTCCTGGTCTCTCTTCTGTTTCAAAAGCCCCAGAGCTCCTTTAGCTGTTTTCAGAATCATAAATCCACCCATGGAGACCAGTCTTCAGCAGCAACTAGTGTTTCAGGTTGTAAGGCTTCTGCACTGCAGCTAAGCAACTAAGTCAGCATTACTTAACCCTCTAAACAGCACCAACTAAGCCTCAGGCCTGCTGATTGGTTAAGGAGCTCTTGCAGCACCTGGACCCTGCTGTGCAACAAACTGGCTGGGGCCTGTCAGTAGCTGTCATCTGTGTGACTTCCCCGCTGCCTGTTCCTGCCCATGTACCTAGTCCCTGACCTTTGGGGCCCTGGTTTGACTTCAGCTTGCTTCCTGATATCCATTTCTGGTAGCCCCCTCTAGCGTAGCATGTGAACCCTGGTTTGACTTCAGCTTCCCCCGCTGGTAACACTCCCC